CAAAGGTGAAACCAAACAGACGTGAATACACGGCACCCACCTGACACACACACACACACACACACACACACACACAAGCAAACATACACACACACACACACACACACACACACACACACACACACACGTCTTGAGCAACCCCTCATTTTTTCAGATTTTGGCAGAAAAATGGAAAATAGGTTTTTATTTAAATGTACAAACATACATGAAAATACAGCAAAAATAGAATTTGTACATTTCAAATGAGCTTTATTGTAAATATTTTGCATGGCCACCTTCATTATTTGTCAAAGAACAATTCAAAAAACCCTCATGGAACTGAGTTCTTGGGGCTGGTTAACCTTAAATTGTGGCCCACCATTGGATCCAGCCCTGGGGTCCATGGGGCCTGTTCGGGCACAGCACACAAAAATAACATAGTTTTGCCGCCCTGTGGATCCACCACCCATGGATGCAAGCACTGTGGTTGGGTGCAATGTTTCTCTATAGAGACTTCAGTGCCCACAATGAAGTCTCGTTGGAGTTACCTGGTGAGGGGTGATTGAGAGAAACAGCTTGCTTGATCTAATCCAGTGGTGTTTTGTTATTGGAAATCTGTGCTAGGCATGGGTTGGTGAAAACAAAAACAAATGCCATGTTCAAGCATAACATTGAACTTGTTACCAGAGCACCTTAGGTTAATGATGGACATTGTTATTAGATTATCTGATATGAGGCCATATATCAAATCAAAATATTATATATATATATATATATATACACACACACACACACACACACACATACATATACATATATATATATATATATATATATCTTGTTCACTCAGCTGAAAAGGTGAACCGAGTTGTAAAATGTTCACCACATTGAAGTAAACTGAGTCAGATGGTGCCCAAGACCGCTGGACATACCTGGAAAACCCAAACAAGTAGTGATGATAAACTGAGTGACTGATAGAGGCCCATGTCTGTCGAATCTTTAACTCCCACATCTGAAAGGATTTCTTTTGCATCCCAGGGGAGGGTGGGGTAAATAAAGTCATAATGGGCCATGTTCAGGACCAATTTGGAGGCATCCAGCTCATCTGTACCTGTCACGGCAGTGGGACCAGGGGTGTTCTGAAGCAGTAGAGCAGTATCAGAGCACCAAAAGGGCTGTGGCTTTGGCAATTGTAGAATCATGGGTGTGAGCACCATGTTTGGATGATATTCACCCTCGCATCTCAACATTGACACTGACATTGTGGGGCTGTCAAATTTAACAAACAAATGTAACAAATCTAAGCATGTTTTCAGTAGAGATGGCACGATACCACTTTTTTATGTCCGATACCGATACCGATATCATAAATTTGGATATCTGCCGATACCGATATGAATCCGATATAGTGTTTTTTAATCAACAAAACTGTTTTTTTAAAATATCTTGCTGCATTTTGCAAGTCTGCAAGTTCATACTCAAGTTTAAAACAACAACTACACTAAAGCTATTCTGTTATACCTGTATGCAAAAAAAAAAAATTTCATAGTTCAGCAATACTGATCAATCTAATAAACTTAAACCTACACCATCCTCCCTATTCTGGTATTTTAAAGAGTACTTAGCGTAAATATTAAGCAACCTAACTAATAGGGTTCCAACTCCCAGCAACAACAAAAATAAATAAATAAAAAATAGGGAACCACCCCTCACGCGCCACCTCATGATGCTTAATCGACGTAATCAACCTTAATTTGATGCAGTGTGAAAAAAAATGCACAGAAATCAATTATTTTTCAAGAAATTTTAAATAGATTCAACATCTTTCTTCAACAAAATTGCAGACTGCACAGATGGTACCTTCCCAAAGTAAAAAGTACTATAGCTTACTAGGGTATATATATTAGACTTAATAGTCACTATATACAGTAATTGACTTCTATTCATTTTGCATCAAATTAAAACTTTGGGTGTCAGATAATTATTTATTAAAAGCTCGACATTTTAAATGAGAATAAGAAAGAAAAGTATGTCTTAGGGCATGAACAGTGAAAAGGGGGCACAATCGGCCCCCCTGGCTAAACTTTGCTAGATCCGCCCCTGCACAGTTACCAGCCGTCAGCTACGTAGAAAAAGATCCTGGTGTAGAAAGTAATATTAAATAAATTCTAACAACAGCTTATCAAGCTTAAACGTGCTGCTGTTGTTCAGCCGCTGGTTTGCTCTTTCTGGTGCGAAGTGGGCCAAAAACAAAGACGGACTCGCGACAGAAAAGCCGATCAGCTGATCATTTAAGCAGTTTCACGATTGAAGTACCAGCCGGAGAGCGAGAGGCAGTCGCTCGTTAAGCTTAGCGTGGGAATGCTTTACAAACATTCAGAGATGGACTTACACGCTTGCTTTACTTCTCTCGGGGATAACTTTGTCGGAGATGAAATGCTAGCGGAGATGAAATGCCAGGTTGCTAGCGAAGCTCCACATGCTATCCAGACCACCGACAGGTCCCGCATGCCACAGCTGCTCTATCACGTGATGCACACTGCTCCAACTGCTAACGTTCTGCGGTGAGTTACGGCGTGTTGCAAGTTTTGTGAGGTGCTTTCGTGATATTTAATGGATCGGATTACATTTTTTATTTTTCTCCGATATCCGATCCAGTCATTTAGGTCAGTATCGGACCGATACCGATACGTAATATCGGATCGGTCCATCTCTAGTTTTCAGCAGGTGTTGGATTCAACCTCTTGTCTCTAACGTTCTTGATTTATATCGACAGGCATTTCCATTTCCAGGTTGAGAAGGGTGTGGAAGAGAAGAGTGCAATCTTCAGCATGCACTGGTGCAGTTTGCAACAGAGTATGAAATGTCTGGGATGAGAGTCAGCACACCCAAGAGTCTGAGGCCATGGTTCTTTGCCAGAAAAAGAGTGGAATGGTCTCTCTGGGTCGGAGGTGAGAGGCTTCCTTAATCAAGGGAGTTCAAGTGTCTTATTCATGAGTAATGGGTAACGGAGTACAGGTTGGACTGGCAGATTGGTGTGGCATCAGCTGTAATGTGAGCATTGTACTGGATTGCCATAGTGAAGAGGGAGCTGAGCTGAAAGGCAAAGCATTCAATTTACCAGTCCCTCTACATCACAACCCTTACCGTTGGTTATGAAATCTGGGTAATGGCTGTTTGCAAGAGTTTCCTCTGTAGGATGGCTGGGTTCGGCTTTAGACGAAGGTTAGGGAGCTCAGACATCCAGAAAGATTTCAGAAGAAAGCTGCTTCTGCATGTGAAAAAGAGCCTGGGCACCTCCTTTTGGAAATGTTCCAGGCACACCTAACTTGGAAGAGACCAGATCTCCAACCCTACTGGCTGAAATGTACCACCAAACTCCACAGAGCTCCAGTTTTTTTTTTAGTTTTTTTTTAAAAATACAACTCCCTGTAAACAACTACTATTATACATTTCACCTGACCTTTTCTGAAAATATTTTTTTATAATTCCAAATTTGAACTTATTACTTCATAAGACCTATTGCCTCTGATTGCCTCACCTTGAGGCATTGTTGCCTCAAGGTGCTTTATATTGTAAGGTAGCCCCTACAATAATACAACAGAGAAAACCCCAACAATCATCTATGAGCAAGAGCTTTGGCCTAATCTTCAAAGTGGAGATAGTGTCTCTCCTGAATCAAAATTGAAAGCCAGTTCCACAGAAGAGAGGGCTGAAAACTGACAGGAGGTTCTGCCTCTGATTTTTCTTTTAAATACTCTAGGAACAACAAGTAAGCCTGCAGTGCAAGAGCAAAGTGCTCTAAATGGGGTGATATGGTACTACAAGGTCATTAAGATAAGATGGGGCCTGATTATTTAAGACCTTGTATGTGAGGAGCCAATGAAGAGGAGCCAATATAGGATAAATCTGCTCTCTCTTTCTAGTCCCTGTCAGTATTCTTGCTGCAGCATTTTGGATTAACTGAAGGCTTTTCAGGGAGTTTTTAGGACATCCTGATAATAATGAATTACAGTAGTCCAGCCTGGAAGTAAAACATGCATGAATTAGTTTTTCAGCATCACTCTGAGACAGGATATTTCCAATTTTAGAGATATAGTACAAATAAAGGAGTCCTACATATTTGTTTAATATGGGTATGGAAGGACATATCCAGGTCAAAAATGACTCCAAGGTTTCTCACAGCGTTACTGGAGGCCAAGGTAATGCCATCCAGAAGAGCAGTGGGGACAGTACATCTTGTTATTTTCAATTGAATTAAATTTTAATCATACAGTGCTAAATCATAACAACCGTTACTTCAAGATTCTTTGTATTATTGTAGTCTTTACCTTACAATGTAGAGTAAAGCAGAGAAAACCCAAACAATCAGAAGCCCACGATGAACAAGCACTTGGAAACAGTGGAAAGGAAAAACTCCCCTCTACAGGAAGAAACCTATAGATCAGTTGTGGGTGGTGGGAGGAGTCGTAGGCTTTCTTGTAGTCAATGCAGGTGGTGCTCAGGTTAGTCTGCCTGGTCTTAGGGTCCTGGTGTACTGCTCTGTTTAACAGAAGCTGGTCATTTGATCCTCTGGTGTTGTTTTCAATGCCCAGTGCTCATGTAATGATTCATGTGCTTAATCAGCTTGGTTGCTATGATACTTGAGAGGAGCTACCATGTTGTGAAAAAGCAGGCAGTTGGCTAGTAGTTCAACAGTGTTATACCCTTGTGGAGCTCCTTCATGCTATTGCTCTGCCTTGTGTTAGTCAGTCCAGATGAGTACCTGCTTTTAGCAGCCTATTTAGTTGTGCCACCAGGCAATCATTGAATGAATGTCTTTAGCGTCTTCAGCCAGTAGGCATTGTTAGGACCTGGTGCTCTCCAGCTCTTCTTTCTGGAGTCTTTGGATGCCGGCCTTTGTGAAGGTGACTGATTCTTGTTCTGGGAGGTTATTTTGGTCTGCTCTTAGTCCATGATATTGATATTGTGTGACACCTTTCTTATACATATTCCTCCAGTACTGCTCAGTCACAGCTCTGTGTGGGTCTGATCTTCTACTACTGTTTCTTTGCAGTGGGAGTACACCTTTTCTGTGATGCATCTCTTCAGCCTAGTGGCCAAAGCTGTGAGCCTTTTTTGATGGTTTCAAGAACTTTATTTATAGATATCTTGTTGTATTTCTTATTTGTCCAGGACCTGTCTCTTACGATGCCCTTTTCACCTCTGTTAGCCCACTAACATCCTTCTAGTCTTCCCTGAGTTTGCTTTCTAGCCTTCTTCTTTTTTCTACATGCATTTTTAATCTTATATCCAAGTGTGGCAGTGGCATATATGAGCTTACTGGTGTCTGTGATGCTGGTATTAGAGATGGTGAGCAGAGCTCTGTTCTCTGTGAGGATCTCCTCTGATGAGACTCAGGGAGCCGGGAGAGTTGTGCTCTTGGTTGTGTGGCTACATTAAGTCTGCCCACAATCTTCATCCTCAGCCCAGTAGATGCATCATCTACAGTTACACTGCTCTCTGCCTGAGTTAGCTCATCATATTTATATGGTTAACTGTTGTTCCCATTGTGCTGTAGTCTTGGGATCTCGCAGCTTTGATGGTAGCCTCCACTTATTGATGTTCTTGCACTGAGCTACCGTCTGACTATCTTCTGACTTTCATTCCTCTTCTCTCCAGAGCATACCTCCACCTTCTTCCTACGGTCACTACAGATCACATCAAATGTTATCTGCAAACAACATGGTCCACAGAGACTCCTGCTTCAGCTCATCTGTCAGCCTGTCCAAGTACAGAAATCTGCTGTATATGTGTGTGAGTGTGTGTGTATATATATATGTACATAAACCAAAATAAATCAGAAGTTTGGTTAAAACCACTATTAATGATGCACTGATATTCAGGGTACCTGCGATGTGTCAAGAAGCTGCCGTTAGCATGACCAGAACCGTCACAGCCTGGTGTTGGGCAAGATGGGCCCTCGGTCTTAAAGGCTTTCCAAGAGAAGGGTGTGCCATTTAGAAGACCTTCCTTCTGCCGACGTGCTGCTAGTGGACATCCATAAGCACTGCGATGAGTGGCGTACTTCCCACTGATGTGGCCCAGGCTATCACAGCCAGGAACAGGACATCTGTAGCCAGGCAGAAAACACTGTCAGGCTAGTTTGGCTTAGGCTAACACAAGACATTTTAAATTTGGTACATGAATTTAGACAATGGCCTCTGAATGGGTTAAAGTAGACAAATGTGTCATTTATCCCATTTGTCCAATCATTGAAATCCTTTCCATTTTTCTACAGGAAAGAATAAAGGCATAGTTTTAAAATAAGTAAGATATTATCCTCTTCACAGGGTCAGTGTGCTGTCCTGTGACAGCCCTGAAGGTGGTGTAAGAACTAAAACTCCATCATTCATCTGAATCATCATAATTCATCTTCTGATACTTAATATCTTGGAAATTAGATTTTTAATCTCAATGAGATTTTTTTACCTGGATAAATAAAGGATTAATAATAAAAAAATAATATCTATAATACATTTCTTTTGAGCCAAAGTAAACCAAATTATAATCTAACACACACGGTGCTAATGAGCTATTGTTGCAAACCTGAGCAGCTCAGAATCTTCTTTGTCATCCTTGGTAGGGGTTGATTTGACTCCACTTTTCTTGGCTCGGGGGCATCCAGACAAACTGGCACAGAGGAAGAAAGTGGACCACACAGAAAAGACAAAGCTTTGCTTAAACACAGGCTAAATAAAATTCTTTAAAAGAATGACCTCAAAAAGTAAAAAAGTCATTTGTATATTTTGAAACATGTAAGCTAATATGGGTGAAGCTGATTCTGTTTAATGCGCATTTTAACAGTTTACAAGGACTCAGTACATTTACAGTGAGTTTATGTGAACATTATATTCTGTTAGCTTAATGTTTATCACTCAATGTCAGCTTCTGTCTTAGTGAGACTGGTGGACTGTGTAAGCAGTAGGGACCAAGAAAATAAGTCTACACACAGACTTTTTTTTATTATTGCCAAAGTGTGACATAAATACACTGAGTAACTTATGTAGTCTGTAATGAATATGTGATTGGGGAGGCAAACTCTCACCTGCGATGTGAAGCATAGTTTCCAGTGATGTGGCCTGATCCGTCACAACCTGGAGTTGGACACCTGAGACAAACACACACACACACACACGCACGCACACGCACACACGTGCACTTATTCAATTTGCAAATTTAAATTATTAGCACATTGCTGGCAAAAATGATTTTTTTCCACCAGATTACTTAGAATCAATTTTTTTTGTTTCCAATTTTTGATATATTGTATTATATCAAAAATATTAGTATTTTATATTAGTTTAAAAAGGAGAGCAAGGACAGAGCTGTAGCTGTGGAGGTGAGAGACGGGAGAAAGCACACATACTTTAGTTCTGCTGTGTGGGCAGCCATGAGGGTCCGAAGTGATTTATCAGCAAGAGGACAGCCTGACAGACTGAAAGATAGGTTAGAGAGAGAATGTCAGAACACCAGACAGATCAGAATGTCTGAGTACGAGTGAAGGAAAGAGCCAGAACCTGAACTAGACTGCAGAGCCAGGACAGAATTGAGCAGGATACACAGCAAGGACAGAAATGGTATTATTTTAAATTCAAGTAGTGTCATTGTTAGCTTCCCCTAAATATGTTCTTTGGCATAACCAGAGTCATCTACTCTGAATGGTGTAAGTTGTAAATGTAACAGTCTACTGTTTGCTGAAACATCTGAAAGGTCTCGTTTGTTCAAATGAAGAGAGAATGAAGGGAAATCCTCAAATGTTTCACTGCGTATCCTCTACATATATTAACCATGTATTAGTTTTCAAAGGAGCTTGCAAAGAAAACCGTCTGGACTTCTTTAAGTTGCTTGAAGACGTTTCACCTCTCATCCGAGAAGCTTCTTCAGTTCTAAGGTCAAATGGTGGGGAGTCCCAGATTTAAACCTAGTGGGAGTATCCCCCCAAAGAGGGACAAAAGGACCCCCTGATGATCCTCTAATCGTGCGAATATCATGCGAATTGCTGAGGTCAGATGGCCCGGGATGTGAGTGGGCGTTAAGGCGTCTGGGGAGGGAACTCAAAACTGGATTATAGATGGCAGACAGTTGGTGTCGTAAACCACCGCCTCTGTTCAAAGATGGTCGCTCACAGTGGAACTTAGAACTGAAGAAGCTTCTCGGATGAGAGGTGAAACGTCTTCAAGCAACTTAAAGAAGTCCAGACGGTTTTCTTTGCAAGCTCCTTTGACTACGATGACCCGGATGACTGAGAACCTACACACATGTCATAGGTCATCGTAGTCAAAGGAGCTTGCAAAGAAAAGCGTCTGGACTTCTTTAAGTTACTTGAAGATGTTTCACCTCTCATCCGAGAAGCTTCTTCAGTTCTAAGGTCAAATGGTGGAGAGTCCCAGATATAAACCTAGTGGGAGTATCCCCCCACAGAGGGACAAAAGGACCCCCTGATGATCCTCTAATCGCCTGAGCCAAGGTGTGAAACTGGGTGTGGGTCCCAATCAGCCAGAGTTTCGGGTGAGTTCATTGTGAAACCTGGCCCCACCTTATCATGCGAATTCCTGAGATCAGATGGCCCAGGATGTGAGTGGGCGTTAAGGCGTCTGGGAAGGGATCTCAAAACTGGATTATAGATGGCAGAGAGTTGGTGTCGTAAACCCCCGCCTCTGTTCAAAGATGGTCGCTCACAGTGGACATAGATGGCTTCTTTCACTCCTCTTTCAAACCATCTGTCCTCTCTGTCCAAAATGTGAACATTGGCATCCTCGAAAGAGTGTCCTTTATCCTTAAGATGCAGATGGACTGCTGAGTCTTGTCCTGTGGAGGTGGCTCTTCTGTGTTGTGCCATGCGCTTGTGAAGTGGCTGTTTGGTCTCTCCAATGTAGAGGTCTGGGCATTCCTCGCTGCACTGTACAGCATACACCACATTGTTAAGTCTGTGTTTTGGCGTTTTGTCTTTCGGGTGAACCAGTTTTTGTCTGAGCGTGTTGCTGGGTCTGAAATACACTGGGATGTCGTGCTTGGAGAAAACTCTCCTGAGTTTTTCTGATACACCGGCTACATAGGGGATGACAATGTTGTTGCGTCTGTCTTTCTTATCCTCCCTCGCTGGTGTCTGATCTTCTTTTCTGTGCCTCTTTGCTGACTTTAAGAACGCCCATTTAGGATAGCCGCACGTTTTGAGTGCTTCCTTTACATGTGTGTGTTCCTTCTTTTTTCCTTCAGGCTTAGAGGGAACATGTTCTGCCCGGTGGTGTAGGGTCCTAATTACTCCAAGTTTGTGTTCCAGAGGGTGATGGGAGTCGAACAGGAGGTACTGGTCCGTGTGTGTGGGCTTCCGGTAAACTTCGATGTTGAGGTTGCCATTCTCTTCAATGTGCACAGCGCAGTCCAGGAAAGGCAAACAGTTGTCCTTTGTGTCTTCCCTGGTGAACTTGATGTTTTTATCCACAGAGTTAATGTGCGCAGTGAAGGATTCCACTTCTTGTGTCTTGATTTTGACCCAGGTTTCACAATGAACTCACCCGAAACTCTGGCTAATTGGGACCCACACCCAGTCCTTTTGTCCCTCTGTGGGGGGATACTCCCACTAGGTTTATATCTGGGACTCTCCACCATTTGACATTAGAACTGAAGAAGCTTCTTGGATGAGAGGTGAAACGTCTTCAAGTAACTTAAAGAAGTCCAGACGCTTTTCTTTGCAAGCTCCTTTGACTACCATGACCTGGATGACTGAGAACCTTCACAGACATATTAGTTTGTTTCATTACGTGAGATCAGGTGTGAGAGGTCCCAGTTGTCTGTGCTAATGTGCTGGACAAATACTGAAGCAATGAAGATACAAATTTTACATGAGCCATTTCATTACAACTGAAGAAACTTTTTCAATGCGTGTACCATGCTACCCCTGCCGCCCCCCCGAGACCCCACCCACAAAATGGGAATCTATGTAAAACCTAAATAAATAACAATAAAATTCCAAAGCTATAAACAATTTGAAAAAATGTCTTTAGCTGAGAGCTGTTAGAAAAACTAGTTTTAGTTATTTGCAAAATAAGGAGATAAGAAATAGAAATCTCTTAAAAGTTACACTTAGTGACACTTTTCATTTCACAATTCAAACATTTTCAGTGTGGTGCTAGATTGCAGCCAAGTATGTGGTTTAGTATTGTCTTGCTGACATAAACAAGGCTTTCCCTAAACCTAGCAAACATACCTTTGTGGGGTCACAGTGGGTAGATGTGGGTGAACTGTGAGACTGTGTTGGCTGGGCAAATCCACACTTGCCCTGCCCACACAATTTTGACCTTTGGGTTCCCTTTATGGGTTTTAAAATCTATTATGGTTGGGTAGGCTAGCCCAAGTGTGCCCCATAGTGAAATTTTGCCCATTTGTGTCCCCCAGAAGGAATTCTGTGGGCACTTAACTGTGTGGACCATGTGTGGGCACACCCCGTTTAGTGAGTGATAAGCATTGGTTTTGTCCTGCTCACACAGCCCCTCAGTTCATGGGCACATTTGCTGGTATATTATTTATAATACAAAAGTAAAGGTGTTTCATATCTTCTCTAAAATAGATGAAAACATGAAATGATAGAACATGTTTAATTAGAATGTCAGAAATATAAGACTGAGAGAAGATGACTGATTTAAAACCTCAGTAAAATTAAAGTTATACTTGCTCTAATTGATATACTGCAAAAGAGCTCAACAAGTAAAATATATTAGGCCAGTATCTGAGCATACTGTAGATCTGTTGCAGGTCTACAGTGGGACACACTGTGGGCCATTCTCTTGTTAGTGTGGGCAGCTCACAGTCAGCCCACATTATGGGCTGTCCCACTGAGGCTCCGCACTGTTGGACCAAGATATGGTTTGCATTTCATGCTTGAACTGGACCCCTGATCAGCCTACTATGGGCCTTAGTAGGGTAGTGAAATGTAAGCCCCGTGGGTCTATTCCTAGTGGCTTTACACAGCCTCAAGGGGGCATGCTGTCATCATCTGGATTGCAGCATATGATCCTAAAAACTTGTATATATCATCTGGCATATTGCTCTCTTTCTCGCACTTTCTCTCATAAAATTGTATAAAAGCAGATCAGAGTCTGGTCAGAGGTTGAATAGAAAGGTCATTATTTAGCACTTTTCTTCTTTATCTGAGCACTCAAAGTGCTTTACACAACCTGCCTCAGTCACCCATGCACACAAGCACTTTTTTCTATGCAAGTGCTTTCTATCTACCACCTACAGGGTGCAACGGCATTACTTCAGGACTGTTTTGGATGAAGTGATTAGAGCATGTTGTATAATATGTGATACATGTGCCCTACACACTATCTTATGGCACTTGGAGAAAAAGATGAGTTAAGCCAGGATTCTGCTTATCATTTTCTCTTTAGTTTTTAGTGCAATCATCCCACAGCTCTCTCTCTGACTGGATTGAACACCTTACTCTCAAATTGGATTTTGGACTTATTGTCATGATCCTGGGTTTTTTGGCCCAGCATTTTGAGTTTTCTTGTGTTTTGATGTTATTTTGGATTCTAATTTATATTTAAGTCCACTTTGTTATTCTAAGGATTTATTCTACAGTACCTAGGTTATTCTGTTTAGCCTTTTGATTATTAGATTCCCCCTTGTGTCTTTGCCCTCTGTGTGTCTGTGTTTATCTATGTTGTGAGTCTTTGTGTCTTGCTTCACTCATGTTTCATTCTGCTCCCCCTTGCCTGTCATATTATCCATGTTTCCCTAGTCATGTCTCTGTTTGTCTGTCCGCACCTCTCTGAGTGTGTTCCCATTATTTCCTGTTTTACTTTCGTAGTCTCCTACACCGTGTTTTGCTTGCCTCTCTTACTTTGAAGCTACCTTGTCTCATGTGTAATGTTTAACTGTACATGCTCCATCTCATTGTGTGTAATTTGCCCCAGCTGTGTTCCCCACGAGTTTCCTGTTCCCTCGTAATTCCCTGTATATTTAAGCCTTTTGTTTTCTTCTGTCCAGCGTGGTGATCTCTCTCATTCCTGGCTGTGTGAGTCTCTATGTGTTAGTTTATAGATGTACCAGTATAGTTTTGTGTTATTTCCCCTTTCAGCAAATAAATCTGTCCTATCTTGTTCAAGCTGCACCACAGTGGTGCACCTTGTCAGCTCGTTGGTATGTTGACTGGTTAACTGACAGCAAGGCTCTGCGACTTTTGAACTGAGGATGGATGGTAAGGATGGATGTTAATGCCTTTCTGGAGACCATTTTCAAGGACACAGTAAGATGTATGCCCTCTGCACTGGGAGACACACCTCATACCCCCATCATTAAAAAAAATCAGCACCACCCAGAATTTACAATAGCTTATTTCCACAGACAATAAGACTGTTAAACTCACTGTGATATGCAGAACAAAGCCACGTTTGGAAATAGGTATAGTGAAAATGCCAACATTTTATCACT